CCCCAAAACCCCAAAACCCCAAAACCCCGAATTACATAAATATGTCTGAATGTAAAATTATAGATTTTACCAATTTATATTAAAATCCATAAATTTTATAAATTATTATAAAAATGAAAAGTAAGTTCAAGGTTTTAGCCTATATTGCATTAATTATATGGTAAAATCTAATTGTCATATAATCTTACTTAATAGTTTTAACTTCAAAATCTCCTGTTTATAAACATGCTTTGATACTTAATTTCCAAGAATTCTTGGTGGAACTAATTAAGATACATACTTTTATGCTCTTGATGTCGATTCTAATAACAACATTGTAATAGGGGGTTCTACAAAAGATAATTTTATTGTTGATAGTAATACATATCAATATCCAATCGTTTTATATGTCAGAGATGGAAACTTATATTAATGGGCAGTGTAATTCAACATTACTTAAGCAACTGATAATTACGTGAAAGTAGTGAAATTCCTTCCCACATATGATAAAATTATAATTGGAATTCTCCCTAGATCAAGTTACCAGGATTCAATAATAGCAGTATTAGACGCAATCACGGGTGATGTAATCTATTCTTATATGGATGGTTCCTATATGAGTTTTACTCCTGAATCAATAATCGTAGATTCAGCTAATAATGTCTATGTTGGAATGTAAAACAGTAATATGTAATGGAAAGTTATCAAATTTACCATAGCAGCGCCAGCATCTACAATCCCAAAGTATATTTTTACAACTACATCTTATACTGGCGCAGCCTATAGCTTGAGATTCGATATGTAAGGGAATATTCTTGTAGTTGGATATTTTTAGAAATACATGGAAAGTAAATCATATGCATCAATCTCACTCCTTTCCCCCAGTCTTAATGATTATTATCATTACACTTTCTATTAGACTTTTACAGGAAGTGCGGGTTATTACATATTTTAAAGGTCATCAACTGTCATAGATGCAGGATTTGAATATCTTTGGGTTTGTGGATATAATTAAGATAGTAAATAAATGGCATCTACTATTAAATTAGATGGATCTAACTTACCAACTTCTTACACAAATATGTATTTTCAATAGTATTCTTTACTCTGATTTTAGTCGTATAGATATGGGTGGCTTATTTTCATGCATAGGAATTTATGGTTAATCTGCAACCAAGGCATACTCTATGATATTTTAACAATCTGATCGATCTCTCTACATCTGTCGCATAGATACAGTTAATGAGCAGTTTGATTACTACTTGATGTCAATATTTAAAGTTTCCTCTGGAAGTTTTAATCAAGCGCTATTTTTATCCAGTACAAGAGCTTACTTTGCGGGAAATTTGAAATAAATATTGGCAAATAATCCGTAAAGCGCTACTACATGGTCTTATTTTGTGGGTATTGTAGTTTCTACAGATCAATCTCAGTTAACTGGCTGTTTGAGCCTACCGATTTCATATACTTCTAAGAAATCAAAGAAAGAAGAATTAACATTTTCAAAGATATCAATAAATGGAGTATCTTAAACCACTACTTTATATAATGCCTATATAAAAGCAAAATCACTTAAATCTACAACAGTGGTTAATCCCTATACATTTTGTCCTTCCTCAACAGTTGCTACTCTAAGTTCACCATCATAAGCTACTATTTTATATGCTGTTGGTGGAGGAACTATCTTATACAATTTAGCAAAGTATACAATTTCAGAAACATGTTCAGATGCTATTTTTATTTACTCAGCCAAATTGACTAATAATTAAACTTGGCCTAGCTTTCTAACATTTGATAGTCTAACCAATGTCTTAACTTGTGCTACATCTGATACTAGTAAAATAGGGTCTTACTCAATTACAATTACAGGCTATTTGACTAATGGGTAGAAAAATTCTTACTCTTTTATGTTATAAGTAACTTAATCTTGTAATTCAGCTACTATAAGTTCAATACCAACAATAACTGACATAACATATGCAGTAGGAGATTCTTAAAGCTGGACTACACTTCCAGTCTTTTTATCTAGTTCAAACTAATGTCCACTTTCATATTCAGTTTAAAAGTAAGATGGTTCTGCTCTACCATCTTTCATCTAATTCTAATAGAGCTTGCTACAGCAAAAATTACTAGTTTATACTAGTTCAGTTGCAGATGCAAATACATACCCTATAAGAATAGTAGCAACTATTAATGGAAGAACTGATGGCTACTTTTAAAATGCTAATTTTAACGTAATAATCAATAACCCTTGTCTAACTGCCACCTTATCCCTAGTTACTTAAAATAATATAAACTACTATATTGGATCTGGACCTTAGATTATCACCTTTGTACCATCCTCAACAGCCTCAACATCTATTTGTGGTGCATTTTAACTTTTTTATATTAGAGATACTGATCATTCCTCATTGCCAATCAGTGTATTTACATATTCAGGATTAACCCTTACAATTGATACTAATGAGATGACTTATAATAGCTAAACTTACAATATTAAAGTGACTTTACAAGCAGGTTCTTTCTCAGCTCGCTAATTATTAATGAATTTCGTCGTAACATTTGCCTTTGATTGTGCTAACACAGGCATAACAATTCCTCCAGACTATTCATATTCTTATGGTATTGGCAGTGCAGCATATCTAATGGATTTCGGACTATTCGTTGCTTACCCTGAGTGCCCCACAATAACTACTTTCACTTATATTTGCAAATTTTACTCTACAAATACAGACTGCACAGATCTATCTATTGGAGTTTTTCAAAATTTTGATTCTACTCTTAATCAGCTCCAAGTTCAGACTATTGATCCAACTAAGTTTGGAACTTATAAACTGTAGATAAGTGCAAGCTATGGAGCATATTAGGTTAAATAAATGATGGCAACTGTGCAGCTTACTGTTCCTTGCAACTTAGCACAATTCACTAAGAATGAAGTTCCTGATGTTTACTATGATGTTAGTTAAAATGATCCTACTAAAATAATAGGTACCTTTTCATGGACTCATAATGCAGATACTAATTGTCGACCTATTACTTATATGCTAACATCATCTGGACCATATATTTTAACTGGAAATAGTGTATAACTTAGTAATCCTTCTACTGGAGTACATACTATTTCTATCGCTGGAGTAATGTATAATACAGCAGTTCCACCAGTTGTTATTGCATCTTCTACTTATTCTTTCGTATTAGTAATTACAAACAATTGCTCAGCTCCAGGTCTAGCTAAAGTCCCCATTTCAGATTAGACATATTACTTGGATAGTGGGTTTCTAGTATTGTAAATTCCTACATGGTCAATTACTTATTCAACTTGTAGTCCTATTCTCTATACAATTACATAAAGCAATCTTAATAGTATTCCAACTTTTATGGTATTTGACTAAAATTACATGACATTAACTGTTATAAGTAGTGATATAAGCCATGTAGCTGTTTATGAATTAACTGTGAAGGGAACTACAACAGTTGGAGGCTCGTTTGATTCATATAATTTTAAAATAAATGCCACAGATTTGTGTTCTTTTCTAGAGATAAATGAGACTCCTATTCCTGATATTTATTATCAGATAGGTTCAGGAATTTAAGAACTGATCTTTGATGATTGGACTCTTAATAAAAATGGATGTGGAACATTTACTTATGAAGCAACCTATGGTTTAAATCAAAATTTTCCAATTGCGAGTATTGCAACTTTTAATCCTACTGCTAGAAAATTTACAATCAGCACAACTGATACGTCAAAAAATAATTAAGTATTAGTAATAAAGATAAAAGGCTCCTCAGGAAGTATTTATTCCTATCTGTCATTCTAACTTATCCTAACAACGCAATGTAAAGTTTCACAACTAAAACCTTCTAGTTTGGATATTATTGATGGTTATTCTACTTAGTAATATGAATATAAAGTTACTCTCCCAGAACTCATAATAACTTATCATACATTCTCATAATTACTTCAATGCAACCCTATAGGAAATCCATATTATAATGTCATAATACAAGGCTTTGCAAGTAATCCAGAATTCATGACAGTTGTAGGATAAGACATAAAAATATATACAAATAATGCTACTTTTGCTTCTAAAGATCTCTATAATATCACAGTTGTCGCATCATATTTAAATTCAGACTTTAGTGTCACCAAAGGTTATCTGTATATTCCATTACATATCAAAATTCCAAATATGGCACCTCCATATTTCAAAAAAAAATTAACAGATGTCACAATGAAGGCAGGTGAAGTTTTAAAGATGAAATTACCTGACCTTATTGATGATGACTAAGATCCTATAAATTTTCTTTCAGTAAATCTAGGTCAAGCCTCTACCTTTATTTCTGGTAGTTTCCCTAATTTTCAAATTAAACCATCTTTAAATGTTTCAGGAAACTTCCCTATATCAATATTTGTTCAAGATAAAAATGAGAACCCTCTCTCAGCTACCTACATCTTCAATTTAGTTGTTGAGCCTGTAGCCAGTAATCAAACAAATCAAGTAATAAATTAAAATACAACACAGAATTTTACTTCAAAGATTATTAAAGGTAAAGCTTCTAAAAGTTTACAAGCAAAAATAGCATCTATAAATAATTAAGGCTTAATGACTGTTTAATTTACCTCTAATGTGATTATTCCATCAAACTATACTGCTTTTGATAATGATGTCTTCACGATAAACTTCACAAATAGCTAAAAGCAGCAAGATATAAAATTAACTTGGAAGGTTTAAAAATTTACACCTAAGCAAATGTTGATTTAACTAGAATTTGATGATCCAACAAAAGTTTCAGATTTTGTAAGTTAAATAATTGTTATAACAACTGTGAATAGTCTGTGGACAGGATGAAATTGATTATAAAATTAAATGGATTTTTCATTGAGAAAAGTTCTAATGAGCCCATTAAATATTAATATATTACAAGTGATAGATTTGTACCCAAATAACTTAACAAAGATAGTAAATATATATTACTTTTAATGATCATTATAGCTGCTTCATAATTATTAGGATAATCAGGTTCAGTAACATAAGGTGTCATGTCATCTATGATGTATGGAAACTTAGCCTTAAACATTATAATGTAATATTCTTCTCATCAGTAATAATTTACTAAGGGCTTCATCTTTGCAATTTTTGTGGGGGATGATAAATGTACTTTAACTGATAATACACATGCCACTTTTCAGTATAAACTTTCCAGCTAATGCCTAGTTCTTCTACTCAATGATTATTGATATAGCGAACTTTAATATATTGCCGACAGATTGGATTCAAGAACAATTTTTGAGTTTTACTGAAAGTGAATCATCTTCAAGTTTTTCTTAAATGGATATCTTTACAAAATTTACTGTTTTAATTGCAAACTTAACTATTTAAGCTATGAATCAAATAATGTAATTGAGAATCTAGGAAGTGCATTTATTTACATCATCTTTTTATTTCTAAGTTCTATCATTGCAATGCTTTTATATATTTGTTCTAAAAAATCTAAAATGTAATGTTATTTATTCTTGATTTTTCTGAAGAATTAAATCTCTTTATGATAAGCTATCGGAGATTATATTTTTTAATATGATTTTAAGGTTTTTCTTGGAAGGCTATTTGTCTATGATTCTGAATTCAATGCTCAATTTATAGCATGTAATTTACATTTAAGTTATAGGTTAATAGTTAGAATGGGACAGTAATGGAGATAAAATTTCATCAGTTTTTGCTGTTGCATTATTCGCTTTTGAATCATTATATCCAATGATTATACTGCTTTTGGTTAACATCTATTATAAGAATTTGAAAGATTAGAATATGATAAAAAGAATAGGATCTATATATAATGAACTAAGAACTGATAGCAAAGTCTCATTACTTTACAATGTATTCTTTGTATTGAGAAGATTTACATTTGCGATGATGATTACTATTTTATAAGATCATCCTAATGCACAAGTTTAACTTCTAATTGTTTAATGTATTCTGCTCATTATTTTCGTGTAAGCATCTCGACCATTTGAATCTACTTTACTGAATAATCTTGAGGTCTTCAATGAGATTTGTATTTTAGGAGTAGCTTATCACCTTCAAATATTTACAGATTACGTTCCAGACGTGAATATACAGTATTCAGCTGGATGGGCAATCATTGCAATAACAGTTTTCAATATAGTGACAAACATGGGTGTAATGATATACTAAACTTATTTGTAACTCAAAGTTAAGTTGAAATAACTACTTTAAAAATGCAAAAGATGGAATAATAAGAGGATTAATGACAGAATCCAAAAATATTAAGATCTTAATCAAAAGACTGATTGGCTCAGTTCTTAGCCTGACCAATTCAATAATACAGATTTCTTAAACGGTGCAAAAGATATACATGTCAAAGAAAAAGATGGCTTACTTTACTACGAGCCATAAATTAAATAAAAAATCAATCTTAAGCCACTAATTTAGATTAATAACCTCGAAGATGAAGTTGATGGTAATATTATTGGAAATTTCTAGCAACCATTTGAAAGCCCAATGAGCAAGAGGAAATATAATTTCTAAAATCAGTTTGAAAATCCTGGAGATGTAGCTTATCGCTTTCCTTAAGAATCTTTAGATTTCTTTAAGAACATAAGAAAAGATCATCAAAGAACAAAATCCAAGAATAAAGTATTGGTTAGTAATGGGACAAATTATTCGAATGAAGTATAAAATTAAAATAAAACATTAGTTAAAAGAAGACATTCTTCCATCAATGAGGAAAATCAAATAACTCAATCATTAGAAAACATAAATTCTTATCATTTTGGTGAATATTCGCAAAAAAGTTAAATCAAAAGAGATTTTAGTAGAAGAGTATCAATAAAATAAAGTGTTAACAAATCTAAAACAATTAAAGATCCCTTAAAATAAGCGAATTTATCAAAGTAGTGATGAAATTAGGATAAAACAATTCAGAGAATAATAATCTAATCAATCAAGAGTTAATACTTATAAATTTTGATTATAATTAATTCTGAAGAGAATATCACAAAATCGCTTATTTAAAACATAGAAACTTAGAAAATATAAAAATAAAATTTGATAAACTTAATTTCCATTAAAATTATATTAATTCAACATTATGGGGTTTTGGGGTTTTGGGGTTTTGG